GGAAGAGTGCAATGATGGTGCCAACTTGGGCCAGTGAAGCAACATCCTCCACAACTAGACTGAAGAACAAAACGACAGTAACTTGTCTGTTCCCCTTCCCCCAATTCCCCAGCACTGTTCCCATCCCCCCAATTCCCCAATTAAAAAAAAAAATTTTTTTGGGAGGACTAACTACTATGTAAGAGACACACTGGAGGATATAAATTAATTTAAAGAATTGCCTGTTACTTAAAAGTACAAAATCCAGCTTCCCCACTGTTTAGCAGTACAAGTTGGGACATAATTTTTCTTTTCTCTGTAAAATGGGGATAATGATACCTGCCTCCAGTGAAAGTGGTAGGATTAGGTAAGATTACTCATGTAAAAATGCTCAGCACTGTACCTAACATATACTGAGCCACAGAAACTGCTTGTTGATGGATCTGCCCCTAGGATGGAAAGGTTGTCAGCACCAAGTCTTCCCTGGCCACTGTAAGCTTTCCCCCTTTCTGACTTTAGGCTGACTTACACAGTGGTCCCTTGCATGCAAAAAGTCAAAGAGCTCCTCCGTGCAATCCTCCTCTGTGTGTGACCTGGAGGACACACGCTCATCACAGAGCTCTAGCCGTTCCCGAGCCTTTACACATTTCTCCGTCTGCTCGCATTGCTCTCTCACTGTTGTCAGGGGATCCTGAAGGAGAAACACAGAAAAAAAAAACAAAATGGGGGTTTTAGGAGGTGATCCACAAACCATATACTTTAATACAACCACCAAACCAAGGTGCTGCCTCTGAATTACCGTGCAGAAGGCCAGCTGGCAGAGCCACACTGCCGCCAGAAATGGCAGAATGGGGTCTCCCATTCAATTCTGATGCTAAGTAGTAGGGAAATGTTTCACATTCCTGCCTTCCAAGGTTGCCAGTATGCACTGAAAGCCTCAGTCCTATCTGAAAAACAAGGTGGTAAAGGAAACCTGGCCAAACTTGAAGTAGATCTATAGGAGGCCTTACTTGTTAACAGAGCATTTTGGAATATGTAATATCTGTGAATTTCAATTCCCCTTATCTGACAGGCCTATGCACTCCAACTGCCCAGCTAGAAAGGCAATGTTAACATGGAGAAAGGCCATTTAAGAAAAGTTCCTTCTTGGGCCAGCCGAGTGGCGCGTTGGTTAGGAGTTGGCTTGGGACGCCAGCTCTGAGCAGCAGGGCCCCAGTTCAGATACCACATGGGCCAGTGAAACAGCCCTCTACAGCTAAGATGGTGAACAACAGCTCAACCTGGAGCTGGGCTGCCATAAGTAGCCAGCGACGGCGTGGGCTGCAGTGGGGCTGGCCCATGGCAGGCATGTGCTTTTGTAAGCTGCCGCAGGCCACCGTGAGCGTCCGTCCAGTGGCCGGCGAGCGACTGCCTCACCCCGGAAGAGCGCAATGATGATACCAACATGGGCCAGTGAGGCAGCGTCCTCCACAGCTAGACTGAGGAACGGAGGGACAGCAACTTGTCTGTTCCCCTTCCCTGATTCCCCAACGCTGTTCCCCTCACCCAATTCCCCAATAAAATCTTTAAAAAAAAAGTTCCTTCCAGAATTCTTTATTAAACCACAAACAGCAGGTGACTGAGTGCCAGGCCCTCAAGATGCTGCTCTGCTCCCTGACACATCGGGAGGAGTCCCAAACCCAGAAAAGACTCAGCTTTCCAGGCCCACACCCTCAAACACTCCACCGCACAAGAAGGAAGCATTAAAGGCTTTTCCCACTCCCATTCTCTCTTAGGTGTCATGTATAAAGACTCCTTAAAATGTCTTCAGCGTTTCTTAAAGCTCAAACTTCCTTTTACTGAGATGGTTCCAAACCTGAGACAGCTCTTACCACTAATTCCTCCTCCTCCTCTTCCTCCTACAAAAGGAAAACAAAATTAAGGTCAGCAGCAATTTTATGACATATATATTACCAATCATACTGATCTTGTAATTACTGAGGACAGACATTATATTAATCATGTTTTAAAATTTCTGTATTTTATAATATTTTGACATTTTAGGGGCCTTGCTAATCATGGAGAGAGAGCTCCTCCCAGGGCTGGCTAATTTCTAGAGATAGCAAACAACTTGTTGAGGGCATGCCTCTCATATGCAAACCAGCCAATCCAAAACCCTTACCACCAACCACTTCCTTTATCTAACTCTCCTACACTAAACCAATTATTGCCCCTGCCCTAATCACCCCAGGGCCAAGAACCAAACAACTAGGGATCGCCCCTGTAGTCCAAAGCCCACAAAAATGATTCAAACTATCCAATCCTGCTAAAAGCGCCTATCCTGCCTTACCCATTCCTTCCCTCAGAAACCAAGGGCCTAGTTTCCCTTGCTCCTTCTGTTCCTGACTGGTCCAGGCACTCCCCCATGTGGCCCTGGGTGGTGTGGCCTGCCTCCTTCTTTTGGGAACTATAAGTAATAAACTTTTCCTTCAAAAACAGTGGTCTCCATGTCTGTAACCTTACCATTCCTGATTTTAAGAAATCCTGGGTACATTTCAACAAGGACACAATATCTCACCTGCATTAGCAACAACTTAAAGAGTGCACAACACTATAAAGTTTATAAAGCACTTTCATATCTATAATGATTTGATTAATCACAACAGCCCCTAAGGGACTCCCAGTTGAGAGGTAACACTAATTAAACATGTTCTGATATAGATTCAAGATGTTAGATGTTCATATGGAATCTACATAACTTAAAAGTATTTTGTTTTAAATTCTGGTGGGTCCCATTATTACCAGAAATAGCTAAATTTAGTCCTTACATCCCAAACCAAGTTAAGAGGAAAACTAACACCTTTTTCTAGATTCTGAACCTGAATTAGAAATATGAAAATGGCCAAACCTAAACTCTTTTTTAGCCAGAACTTAACTAAAGATGGTTACAGCCTCTGCTTTTTGGCTTGCTGAACTCCCAGGACTTTTAAGTAGACAATTAATATAAGTGTACCAAAGGTCTACAAGACTCCATTCACAAGCTTGGAAACACTAGGTCCTACATATTTATTTCTGATTCAGGAGCACAATCTCAATCTTAGTTTCCTTTCTTCCAAGAGGAGCAGTGTAAAAAAATTCCCTGTGGGAGCATCGGCATAGGCCTAAATCTGGGCCATTCAACAGAGTCTATCTGATCAGTATTTCAACCTGTCAAAAGTAAGGTGTTTGCCTGCCAGTGCAAGCACCTGACCACATTTGGGGGAAGGGAAAGAAAAGGTATACAGAGAAATAGAACTAGCTCGGCAATCCCTCATTATGTTTTCAAAATTCCAACACAATCTCATCTCTACAATGCCCTTCAGAGAAGGGACAAAACTCAAGAAAGCTGGGAGGGCTAGGGCACGTTCAATTGTACCCAGGCTATTTGTTCCCACAATTGGCAAAGGTCTCTTCTAAACATGAAGGTGCTATTTAGGATGTAAAATTCTAGTTTTTCATTAAATAGGGTTTCTTAATCTTGCTCTTTAAACAAAATTCATACTAAAGTTTCCCCCCAAAACTGAAATCACATTCTGCCTGAGTTAGAAACCAAAATTAGTACCCTAGAAGCAAGACCTTTATAGTCATATCATTTCCCTATTAGCAATGCTACTACATTGATCATTTTGTGTCTTTGATAATTTTTTGTCAAAAGTATCATGGCTTGTTTTGGAAAAACAAATCCAAACACAAGTCTAAATATGGACTACTTCATGTAAAATTTCTAGTCAATGAGAAAAACCAAGGTCACACTCAACAAAAAGATTTAATCTCCAAGAGGAATAGGTTCTTCATTAATAAACCTCAGTTTTCCTAATTTTAAAACTGACTATTTACTTTCTTTTTCTCATCTGCTGTGGCGAACCCTACTGAACTTTATGGTATACTTTCTGCTGAATTTCCTGGGGCTTACTCCATGTCTTTCTGGTCCTCTTTCTTAAAATAGTGAGACTAGTTAAAATTACGGGATAAAAGAGTTTCCAACTATTCTGAACCCATAAGCACAGAAAATAGCTGCCCCAAAGTGTCCAGAGAACAGGATAGGAAATATGATTGGAAACAAAAGCTAGCTGGCTTCTGTAAAGCTGTGTAACACTTGTGGCTAAGTCTCAGCCCTGGAACCATGTTGCTTGGTTCAGTTCCTGGCTCTCATTATTACTTGTGTGTCCTTAGAGAAGATATTCAACCTCTCTACTCTAGTTTCCTCATCTGTAAAATGGCAATAATAGTGCCTAATACCTCATAGGACCATTTCTTTTTTGTGTGGTTTAAATGAATTAGTACATACAAAGCACTTGAAACTGTAAGTAGTCAATAAATTATTATTACATCGGCGTTCTTACTCTAGGAAAGAGCTCCCTCTTTTTCATCACAGAATTATACTGAACATTCCTACATTGTCCCCAAAGGTACCTGCCCCAGCCCCCGCAAAGAAAAAACAAAACAAAAACAAAACATTTTTTCTAACCTAACTAGTGCAAGGCCAAATTTCCAGAACCTCCATAGAAGATCATGGCAGGGATTCCTGAGCTGAGGGCTAGCTAGGGTTGGTCATTTGCTCCCCAAACCTGTCAAATCAGGAACTCAGGACACCTGACTGGCTAAAAATATAGATACCATTTTTACAAAAGTTTAGTCAATACAGCATTTTCGTTCACGTTAAACCTTCACTATATTCATAGAATGGGGAAATAGAGGCTCAGAGAAAGACTAGTCATCTACTTGATCAAGGTTGCTCGACGAATTCTGGGGAAGGGTCGAGGGAACCAGCTCTCCTGACCCTGCAAATTCTAAGGGGAGCAGGACCAAGAGGGCCCCAGGCGTGTTTTAGCGGGCTAGGTCCTGACCCTCGGTAGAGAGTCGAGTCGATCGCCTTGCCTTACCTTCTTGGGATCTCCGGACCCGGTCAACATCATTCGCTCATCCTCCAGCCCCATGTCCGGCTACGATTGTGGATTCAACACAAACAGTAACAGTGGCACCTATTCCACTTCAGGATCAAGAAGGACTCGTAAGGGTCACTCAGCGGATATCCGGCGATCTGGCCGGAAGTGCGGCAGACTAGTCGTAGTCTCGAACACACGCTCCGATTGGCATGTACCACCGTCCATAGGCAGGGGATAGGGGTAGCTGGTTTTTGCACCTGAGGAGGACTTGCTACGACATATCCCCTTAGTCACGCCAGACCCAAATATGTTTATTTAAGGATATATTTAAAATATTATATTCTAATAGACTTGGGAAGTATGCAGTCTTATGCTCTGTTCCTTTAGCGCAGTTCTTATTCTTACCCACATCGCTGATGAAACGGTCCTAACTGCTGACCTTTTCAAGATGGCGGTCCGCGTCTGCCACTCCCAGGCTCGCGCACCTCCCCAAGATGGCGGCGCCCGAGGCCTGGCGCGCCCGGAGTTGCTGGTTCTGTGAGGTAGCGGCGGCAACGACCATGGAGGCCACGTCCCGGGAGGCGGCGCCAGCGAAGAGCTCGGCCTCGGGCCCCAGCGCTCCCCCCGCCCTGTTCGAGCTGTGCGGGCGGGCGGTGAGCGCCCATATGGGGGTTCTGGAGAGCGGGGTGTGGGGTAAGTCGCGGGTTGAGGGGCTATCTCTGGCAACGAGCGGAGGCGGCCCAGCGGCCGGGGGGCGCGGGGGGCGAGGCCGGGAGGCCCGGGGCAAGGCCCAGCCCGCGGCACTGGAAGCCAGACCATTGGGTCGGAGCATGAATTCCGTGACTGACCGGGCTGGGCAGAGTCAAGACGAGTACCAAACCGACAGATAGACCCGTACCGCGGCCTGGCTGGGGGGCGCGGGGGGCGAGGCCAGGAGGCCCGGTCTGGGGCGAAGCCGGCAGGGCCCGGACGACAGAGGCTGGACTGACGGGCCGGGCTGTGGACATCGAACTGACACTCGGGCTGGAGTGGGCTGGGGAGTCTAGGATGTTGAGCGGACCGGCAAGGATGGTCCGGCTGTTTGGGGGCGGGGGCCGAGGTTGGGAGGCCCGGCCTAAGGCAAGGAGGCCAGGCCCGGGGGCACCCAACCTGACTGACGGTGAGGGGCCTTCGGGATCTGCCTGACACACCATGGGTGCCGAGACCCCAGAGGCCAAGCTGATGGGCGAGGGTAGCCCAGTGGATTGGGAAGCGAGGGAACGGGACTGGGAGAAAGGCCGAAAGGCTTGGGGCGCCAAGGCCTGTCTGACGGCCCGGGGCTGTAGGGAGCGAACTGACGACCGGGGCCTCGGGTGCCAAGCTGTTTGAGCGACGGACTGACGGACAAGGCGGGGGGCGCTGGTGGCCACTCGGATTGGCCTGAGCGGCGAGGAAGGGCCCGAGAACCGGTGAAGGGAAGCGCGGAGCCGGTCGGCGATAGAAGGAGGCTCGAATGACGGACAGGCGGGAAGGGCCAAGGAGGCCCCAGGCGGGGCTACGGCCCGGGGATTCCGGACTGGGAGGGGGCGCGTCGCCGCTAGGAGGCCTTGGTCGGAGTGGGAGTGAAAGGAGGCCCCAGGCCTGAGAGCGCGGGGACCTGCGGGCCCGGCTTGGGTGGAGGGCGCCCAGGCTGAGCAGCAAAGGCGGACGGCCTGGGGCGCTCAGCTGAGGGGCCAGGGAGGGTGGAATGACCAGCCTGGCTGGTGGGCCGGGGAGCACGACGGGCCGGGCCGGGCCGGGCCTGCTAACGGAGGACAGGGGGCCTGAAGCCCGATGGGCACGAGAAGGCCTGGCTGTGGGGTGGGTACCGCTGGTCGCAGCCTGGTCGCTGACGAAAACTCGGGTCCGCGTTGTGAGGGCTCATAGAGTGAAAGAGAGAGAGCCAAGTGAGGGCCTGGGGCGAGGGGGGGCGAGGGGAGAGGCCTTCCCGCACAGGGAACAAGGGAGGCCTTGGGCCTGACCGACTGGTGGTGTGAGGGGGTGGGGTCCAGAGGCCAGGGCTAAACTTGGGTGAGGAGAGCACAGGCCAGGCCCGGGGCCCAGGGAAGGGGGAGGGGTGGCAGGCGAGGAGGCCCTGGGTCTTGGAGGGAGGGGTCGGGGAGGGGTCCTAAAGACCTCAGGAGTGGTGGTGGTGCCTTTGCCAGGAGGAAGGCCCTGGTAAGGCCAGGAGTGAGAGCTTGTGGTCCTGGGATGAGGGTTTGGGTTTCACCATGAGGATGGATGGATGTGGAGAAAAGGCCCAGGAGTTGGGGGGGGGGGATGGGCAGGGCGTTGGGCCTCCGGGAATAAGCCCCAAGGCTGTGGATAGTGGCTAAGGAGGCCCAGGGATGTGGGAAGGCCCTGGGTATGGTGGGGCTGGGGCATCAATCCTGAAGAAGCCCAAGTGTCTTCATGTACCAGGGAAAGACTGTTAGAATACCTCAGTCCTGGTGGGGGGAGGGGATTGTGGCGGCCCTGGGCCAACAGCTGAGAAAAGGATCAGGCTGACCCGTGGGGAATGGGAGAAAGGTCGCAGCGGACCTGGGAAGGGGGCTCAGAAAAGTCCTGGGGAATGTGGAAGAAGGCAGAGAGGATCTGGGTGTGTTAGCCTAGAGCTTCTAGGATGCTAAACCTGGCTAGGAGGGAAGGGGACTGGGTGTGGAGGCCCCAAGTTGGGAAGGGGCAGTATTAAAGGCGTAGGCTGGAAAGAAGCAAGGAAGAGCCTGGCTTAAGAAGAATGGAGAAAGGAAGAGAGGAGTTTGTGGATAATAGGGGGTTAGAATCCCTGTGGCTCTGAGAGGGGATGGCTAAACAGAGGGGAGCAGATTTGAGGAAGAGAAGAGGAAGAGCTCCCATGGGCCAAGCCCACAGCAAAAGCTGAATCAAGTTAGACCAAGTAAGAGGCCTGTGGGCTAGCAGCCAGGAAAGGCTTCCTGGAGGTAGTGGACTCCTCTCTGCTTTGTGTAGGTAATGAAGGAAAAAGTGAGTAGAGGCCGCAGGAAAAGCCACAATGAGGAAACTTAAGGAGAATAGGTATGTTAGACCTTGAGTGCCAGGATGTGGAGCTCGGATTTTATTGTGACTGCAATAAGAGCCTAAATTAGTGTAATAGCATAAGGAATTAGTGCTTTCATTAAGCAGGTACGTTGAGTATCTGCTATGTACAAAGAATTGTACTAGACTCTTTGATAGCAAAATTCAGCTATTCTACAAGTAAAGATAAAAGAAAATCCGGGAATGGAAGTTTTGAAAGATTTTCCTTAGATATGGTGTACTCCAAGATCTTAGACCTATTCTTGGCTGGACAGAGATGCTATTGACAGCATAAGAATAATAATTGTAACATTTAGTGAGCCTATTATGGCCAAGCATGGTCTTAAAAAGATTATAAGCATGATATCCTTTAATTTTCACAACAGTGTTATGAGGTAGTTATTATCACCATTTTAAAATTGAGGAAATTTAAGCTTAAAGATGTTAATTTGCCCAAGGATTCACGATTAACTATGTGATACAATCAGGATTTCACTCAGTTTTGTGCAATTCTAGAGACTAAACCAATTAGCCATGGTACTATTGGGTTGTCGGAAAAGTCATGACTTATTTTTTCTATGTTTTTCGTTGCAAATATGCATCATGACTTTTCCAACAACTCAATATAGTGCCTCTCAGTTCTCGGGAAGTCAGCAAGCAGGTTTTGTTTTTAAGATATATTGAATTTAGAGCCTAATTATTTCCATTCTTCATAGGGAAGTACTAGTTTAGAGTATAGTGGGGGCCCAAAGGATGGAAGTGGCCAACCTGGAAGAGTGGGAAAGGAATTCAGGAAAGGCTTAATAAAGGGCATGTGATACTTGAAAGGTGAATAGTTGATATGCTGAAAGTGCAATGATATTCCGGTGGAGAGAACAGCATGGCAAAAGTGGATCTCATGCACAGGCGCAGAAAGCAGTGTGACGTGTTAGATAAAGTAATAAAAGTCGTTTAGTGTGGCTGAAGTGTAGGAGGCATAGCAGGCAGCTGGAGAAGTTAGCGGGACCCAGATTATGAAGGATTTTTTTTATCACACATATTCAATAAGACCTTTTAAATGCAGAATGGTTCATTATGCTTGGGCGGAAGTGAGCTGACCAGCTCCCAAATGAGTGTATCAATTTGCTTTGTGGGATTATCTCACCCTTGTAGATGTGTATGGCCATGAAATTCCAGCTGCCAACTAAGTAGCTGAAGATACGGGGACCAGAGTTTGAATTAGACTTAGGTTAACTTCTACAGGTTCCATTTGTCAAATGAGAAGTCTGCCCTTCCATTTTCTTTTCCAATAGGATAAATAATGCTTGGAACCATGGAAGAAAAAAATAAATTTTGTGTTTTGGTTTTTGTAGCCCTCCCAGGCCCAATACTTCAAAGCATCTTACCTCTGCTCAATATATATTACTTGGAGAGGATTGAGGAAACTGCCCTCAAGAAAGGTGAGTTGAGTATCTTTCTGTTTCTTTCTCAGTCAGTGATTATAAGCAAGGCACCATATGTTCTTCAGGTAAATATCACACCAGATACTTGCATAAAACTTCTTGGTTTTTAAAAAGTACCCTCATGCCTACTTTCTGATTCCTTACAGTGTCCTATGAAACACAAAGCAAGTATATGATCCCTGTTATACTAATAAAAGTGAGACCACAGGCACACTACAGTTGCAAATAGCAAAGCCAGACTAGAACCCAAATCTTCTGAATCTTAGTTTTTCTATTTTAGCAAGCTGCCTCCCAAACCCCTCATTGGACATGTCTGTTAAAAGCTAACATTTATCTAACTAACCCTAGTGCCAAGCACTATCCTAGGAAGTTTACCTGGAGAAACTTACTTAATCTTTTCAACAATTTTATGAAATAGCTATCATTAACTACATTTTACAATAAGGAAACTGAGGTACAGAAAAATTAAACAACTTGCCCAAGGTCACACAGCTAGAGTGTGGTTTGCTTATATTTAAACCTAGGCAGTGTGTCTTTAGAGCCAGTGCTCTTTACGACTTTGCCATATGGCTCCTGTGAACCCAAAGAAGGACAACATTAAGAGGCTGTTATCCTTCATTCATGGTGGCCAAGGAGTGGCCAAATAAATGTGACATTTCTCCCTACAGGCCTCTCCACTCAGGCCATCTGGCGCCGACTATGGGATGAGCTGATGAAGACAAGGCCTTCCAGTCTGGAAGTAAGTTAAGGCACCAGGTAGAACTCTGGCCTGACTTTGCACAGTGAAAGCAGGAATAGAACACAAACATAAGTTGGGTGCTAGTAAAGTGCAGGGGCAGGGATGGAGTATATTTGGGAGGAGGGCTCTGATGGCTTGTCATAAGGTGCTTTACCATTGGCATTTGTCACTGACTTGCTTGCTCACCATGTTTGTAGGTGACACAAAACTGGGAAAGGTAGTGATCACAATGGATGGCAGAACCTGGATTCATAGAGGTCTTGACAGGGCTGGAGCAATGGTCAAACTTAACAACATGGAATTTAACAGGATAAATCAACTCTTCACTTGAGTCTAGAAAATTCCAATTATATGATCTCAGGGTAGAGAATAAAAAGCGTCTGGCTTAGCAGCAGCTTGTATAAAAGAGATTAAGGGGTTTTAGTCAACAATGTGCTAAAGCCACTCATGTAAGGACTGTACCCTGAACTGTGTGAACTAATGTACTATAATATTGGCCGAAGGACAATGGGGATGATAGACCTGCCTGGTTCTGCAGTGGTCAGGCTACCCCTGGAATATGGAAAAAGAAGTCAAAGCTACACCATGTGTGTCACATTTGGAGGACTGGAGATGTTTTTCCTTGAAGAGAAGACTTGGGGAACATGAACTGTCATAAAATATTTGAATGCTTTTTTTATGAAAGAGGGATTAATAGACTTGTTCTGGGTGGAAGTTAAAGGAGGATAAATTTTGCTAAACTGAATGTAGAAGTTTTAAACTGTGAGCTTATTAGTGATGAAACAGGCTAATTTCAGAGGTAATAGGCTTTCCATCTCTAAGTGTTCAAACAGATCCTGTATAACTACTTGACACAGGGTATTGTAGAGGAAATTCAGCACTGTAAGAGAGGTTGGACAAGATGACTTTTAGGGCTCCTTTTAACCCTGAGATTCTGTTATTCATTGGTTCACATATAACTCACCGGAGTTTTCATTTAAGCAGCATTTCTTTTGCTGTTTCATAATTAGGTTAATTAGGTGACAGGACAGATTACGTTCAATAAACATTTACTAAAACTTAACACATACCAAGTCTTATGCTAGATATTGGAAGTACAGACACAGTCCCTAATCTTGAGGAACTACCAGTTTAGTGGAGAAATATGCAAACAGATACATCATATATGCTAGGATAAATGGTGTGATAGAAAAGTAGCAAGGAGGCTGAGGGAGAAGGGAGCAAGAAAATCTTTGCTAGGAAGGAGTATTTGAACTGGGCTTTATATGGTGAATGAGGCCAAATGAGAAGAAAACATGTTAGCTCTTATGAGGAACTGGAGATTGAATTTCTGGGGATGCACTGGGTTCAGTAATATTTAGCTCCATATCCTTCAGCTTTTCCACTTCCAGATCTGGACACTACCCTACCCCTGAAGTTCAGTGTGATGACACTAAGGCCCAACAAAGTCCTCAGTCACTATGTACAGGAATTAGGCCTTAGAGGAAGAGAAGTGAACGTAAGAATATTAGAAAACAGGAACGGCTTCCTGCAACTTTTAAAGAAACATGAGATTGACTACTATTCCAGTGTTTCCCAAGAAGTATGGTTGACTAGCTGGTGATGGAAATTATATCTTTCTTTTGAAGAAAGCTTTTTATCCAACATTATCTCAAGCTTCCTGGAAAAGAGTCTATTTGTTAACTTGTTTTCTTGTCTCAGAGCATTTCAGAACTTTTAGGAAGCCCCAGACTTGGTGACCTAACAGTCACCTAGATAGAGGTCCTGACTTGGAGCATATCCATTCCAGAGGGTGTCTTCTTCTGCTTCCCACTTTTGCATGACAGTAACCTTCACTTCATTCGTGATTCAAAAACATTTACTGAATGCCTATTCAATTCCAGGTACTGTGCTAGGTTCTAGGGATACAGTGGTGAGCAAGATAGACATAGCCCCTGACTGCTTATAAAGCAACAGTATTTCTGTGTCGTACTAGTGTGGCAATATGGAAATGAAGGATTATTCAGTAAATGGTTCTCTAGTAATTAACCATTTGGAAAAAAATAAAGTTAGAGCCTCACTTTACAATATACTCAGATAATTACTATATGGATTAAAGATTAAATTGTAAAAAGTACAAGCACAAAACAACTAAAAAATGAATAAAGGTGACTGGTTACCTAATCTCAAGATGAAACTTGCTATTAAATGGGCAGGACCAAATAAAAAAATAATGGACATATTTGACCATAAAAAATGCCAATACTATAAATACAATTTAAAAGGTACATAAATTGGGAAAGAATGTTTGCAACAATATTGGCAAAACAAAGGGATAAAGAGAGTAAGACAAAGGTGAACATCCCCGTAAAATAAGATAAAGATTTGGACAAGTCACAAAATATAAATTTCCAATAAAGTGAAAAATGTTCAATCTTATTAATAATTAAACGGGAAAGTAAAATTGTACCTCATAAAGTCTGTTTTGGTTTTGTTTTAAAAGGTAATTCCAGGGATGGGTAAAACTTGCATTTTAATATACTATTGGTGGGAGCAGAAATGTTAACAACTTTCTTGGTGAGCAATCTGGTGATAATTGTCCAGCGTCTTTAAAACATTTAAATTCTTTGACTAGAAATTCTACTTAGAATTTATAGTACATAAAAATTGAGATACTCATGAAAATTTATTTCCAGATGTCTATTACAGCAAAGTTTAATATCAAAAAGCTAGAATTTAAATATTCAATCATACAGGAATTAAGTATAGTACATCCATATTTTCAAAATATTAATAAAGTCATACTCTAAAAATACTTAAATACCTGGTGGTAAAAATGTTTAATGATATGGCAGTATAATGTTCAAAAAAGCCCAGACTTCGAAATTGTTCAAAATTTTCAATGTTATAAAACAAATATCTAAAGCTATTATTCACATATGCATATATACTCCAAAGAGTTGGTTTACACATGATTTTTTGTTTCTTTATCTTTGCACAAACAATATTTCTATTAGAAAGGCAACAGTGGATAATAGTTTATGAATATGTGCAGGCTCTAACAGTTTAGTACAAGAAAAGTTCTCCTTAGTTTGCATATACACACTTCTACCCCACCAATGCCTGAGCTGCCACCCCATTGTGGATAGGCCAGGGATTGTGTTGGTAGGTAAATATCATTTCACCTGTTTGGTGGTGTCTCATTTTTCCTTCATTTTTCTCATCATTCAAAAGGAAGTATTTAAATCACTGCATTTTCTGAGCTCTAGTGTACAAGTCCACAAAATGAGTGGCTTGTACTAGATCTCGCAGGTATTTTTCAGCTTTGAAGTTTTAGCATAGATTGTTCTAAAGGGTAATGATGGAACAAAATGCAGTAAACTGCTGTCTGCTCATGCATGAATTCATGAGAAAAAAAGCTACTGAGATAGTTGTCATAACTAACTTTACATACTCACTTATTCCTCACAACTCTATGATGTAGGTAATAGTTATTTTCTTCACTTTACAGATGAAATTTAGGCAGAAAGAGGTGAAGTGACTTGCCTAAGGTCACAGTTGTGAACAGCAGACCCAGGATTCAAGTTGACGAAGTCTGGCTTTAGAGTGTGTACAGGAGTACACACTGTCATGTGCTCTTACTGCAGTTATGTCATCAGTGTACCAATTTCAGAAATTCTCTCCCATTGTCTTCAACTGACTAAAAATCCTAGTATTTAGTTATCTAAACTACATATTCTGCTTGCCTCACAGTCAGAAACAGCCACAGTATCTTGGTTCACATCTTTGTATTTTGGGCCCAGATCTATAACCATTTGAATATCTCATTTGTGAAGTTGAAACCTTACTAGGGTTACCTGCCAGTGTTTTTCGAGGCTGTGAACGTGGGCCAACAAGTGTGTAGGAAAAGTGCCAGTGAGGTAGGATTTGAAGGATTCAGGAATACCCCATTTCCGTTCATGGCTGTGTAGAGATTTGGCTGCCTGTATTTTTTTCCTGCTCCCCTATTGCTCCCACCCTGCTGCTGGTGAGAGAGGTCCTTCTCTCCTTTCCATGCATTTATCTCAAGCATGAAGACATTCCTTACAGCAGGCAGCCTTGGGGAATAGTGAGGCCAAAGGAATGACATTTTTGCCTGAGAACAATAGGGGCCCAGCTCCTGCCAAGACCCTGATATAGCTTGAGGGTCACTCTGGTAGGAGAGAATGCATGGAGGTAGGGTAAGTACCAAGGTGTCTTAGTTTTGGGCAACCTGCAGACCCCCACTACCTTTGCTTCAGACTGTGTCCACTTAACAGTTTCTGCCTCTGTCACATCCATTTCACATTGCCCATCTTGGCTAATGACTAGCAGCAGAAGTAACATTTTGTATTTTAGTTTACAAAATGCTTCAGCTTTCACTGCCTAATTTAATCATCATAACAAACTTGTGAAGGTTTTACAGATGAAGAGGGGATCAGAAAGATCCAGAGTATAGTGGCAGAGCTGGCACCTGTATCAAAGTCAGCAGACATTCTACTGTACCTTAAAAAAGAATGGGGACTTAGGGAAGTCTTTATTTCAGTCTGCCCTTTGGGGGGCAGGTAGAATTCCTAACCTCTAACAGACATCAAATTCGTTTGGGGATGGTTTTTAAAAGATGCATGGACCTTACATCAAATGTTAACAGAACGTCCAAGTCTGGGTACCTGGCACATGAATTTTGGAAAAAAGCCCCACAGTAAATTGCACCAAAGATTCAAAATCACTTGCACTTGAGTTCTTCTAAATGTATCAGGATAGTCTGATGAAGTCTCATATCCATCAAAGCAAATAACTATTGCCTTGAAGAAAACAGAAATCTAAGATTTGGTCCCTGCTGTCCAGGAATTTCTAATATGGTTGGGATAAGACATGTACACAGGCAGACTCAACACCATAAGGCATGTCTACCCAAGTCCAAGACCTGAGTAGTCCCAACAAGAGTTGGGTCGGGGGAGGCGGGGACAAAGAGAAACACTAACAGCCTGAGAATGGAATAGTAGGTCCTTTCAGGAAGTGGGTTTGATTTTGGCAATGAAGAGTATTTGGGGCACATGTAAGAAAGGACATAGAAGGCAGGTTTTTGGATCAGTAAAGTGACCAATTTGGCCAGAGCAAAGAATTCATGGTGCTAGATGTGGGAAATAGCTTCTCAGGTAGGCAGAGCTCATATTGTGGAGGGCTTTCCCTGCCAGGCTGAAGAATTTCAAATTAACCCTAGGCAGTGGGAAGACATCCGGGGTTTTAAAGCAGAATAATGTAATCAGAGGTGTTTTACAAAGAAAAATCCAGTGGGCTTGTGCAAAAGTTCGGGAAGGGGAAAGGGGACAGTTAGAGTGAGTAATCAGGAAGCTGATGTAGTCAGGTGTGAGGTGATAAGTTTTCTGAACAAACATGGTAGTGTAAGAATGAAAAGTTGGGGTCAGGTTCTAGAAACAAACATGGAAGAATTTACAGGGTTGAGTTTCACTTGAGAGGCACTAGAGCAAACTGGTCTCTGGAACCAAATTTCCTGGGTTCAAATCTTGATTCTGCCACTTACCTGTGTAACCACAGGCAATAACAACCTTTGTACCTTGGTTTTCTTACCTGTAGAATGGGGCTAATAGTAATACACGCCTCAATAATGCAAGAATTACATGAATTTGTATAAATTTAGTGTTTCCTGGCACAGTAAGTAACTATGGAAGGAAGTAAACTGGGATGATGATGGTTCTATGGGTTGCACTTAGCATCACAGCTGTCTGGCATGTTCTCTGCTTTCAGAGTGTGACCTGTTGGCGAGCCAAGTTTATGGAGGCCTTTTTTTCCCATGTTCTACGTGGGACCATTGATGTGTCTTCTGACAGGCGTCTTTGTGACCAGCGCTTCTCACCTCTTCTGCATAGCTCCCGCCATGTCCGGCAGCTCACCATCTGCAACATGCTGCAGGGTGCAACTGAGCTGGTGGCAGAGCCCAATCGCAGGGTCCTGGAGACCCTGGCCAGTTCCCTGCACACCCTGAAGTTCCGACATCTGCTTTTCTCTGATGTGGCTGCTCAGCAGTCACTCCGACAGCTATTGCATCAGCTTATTCATCATGGGGCTGTCAGCCAGGTGTCGCTGTACTCCTGGCCTGTGCCTGAGTCAGCCCTTTTCATCCTAATCCTGACCATGAGTGCTGGCTTCTGGCAGCCAGGCCCTGGTGGCCCGCCCTGCCGCCTCTGTGGAGAGGCCTCCCGAGGCCGGGCCCCATCCCGAGATGAAGGGTCCCTCCTGCTGGGTTCACGCAGGCCTCGCAGGGATGCTGCTGAGCGATGTGCTGCAGCCCTGATGGCTTCCCGGCGGAAGAACGAAGCTAAGCAGACGGCCAGAGCCGCACCTGCCACTCGGGTTACCCGCCGGAGCGCACAGGAGAGCCTGAGAGCAGGCGGGATAGACCCTAAAAGGGAGCTGCACCCTCCAGCCACCTCCCACGAGGCTCCTGGCACCAAGCAGCCACCCTCTGCTCCAGCCACCACCTCCTCTGCCTCTCCCTCCTCTTCCACATCCTCATCCAAACGGGCTCCAGCTAGCTCAGCCCCACAGCCTAAGCCCCTAAAGCGTTTTAAGCGAGCTGCAGGGAAGAAGGGTGCTCGCACTCGTCAGGGGTCTGGTGCAGAGTCTGAAGACCTGTATGACTTTGTTTTCATTGTGGCTGGTGAGAAGGAGGATGGGGAAGAGATGGAGATAGGGGAAGTGGCTTGTGGCGCTTTAGATGGATCAGATCCCAGCTGCCTGGGGCTTCCAGCACTAGAAGCCTCCCAACGATTCCGCAGCATTTCCACCTTGGAGCTATTCACAGTTCCACTGTCCACAGAGGCGGCTCTGACACTGTGCCACCTGCTGAGCTCCTGGGTGTCTCTGGAGAGCCTCACACTATCCTATAATGGTGAGTGCCCTAGAGGGGCAGGGGTTGGGTCTCCCAGCAGCACCAGCTGTATGCCCAATCCTGTGGAAGGGAACAGGGTATGATCAGGAAGCTGGAGATGTGGCCCGGCCTGCCTCCCTGTGAGGCAGAAGGCACACACATGTAGCGGCAGGCTGTCGATGCTAGGGAAGAGGAACATGAGTTCTACAGACTTGATTTATAGTTAAAAGCCAGGGTTCCTGAGGGGCAGTGAGGACCTGAAGAATGAGTACGTTTTAGATATGGCAGGCAATCCAAGGGCAGATGGGAGTATGTAGAGAGTATGCAAGCCCAGCAAGGGCTAAGGCTAGATCATACCAGTCATATATCAAAACAGCTGTACAGACAAGGTGTGGGGCATTATTTTATCAGACCAGTAACCTGCAAAGCAGTTCTTTCCTACCTGGCTATGCCCAGCTAGCCAAACTTCAGCTCTGGATAAATTTAGGCAGATTGCACAGCACTACGAGACATAATTGTGCAGATTGGTGCTACTATGCAAAGTCATCAACCTTAGACAAATCCTGTGTTTGCAACATCAGTTCCCATTCCTAGTGTACCACTTCCAAACCCTTCCCCCTTTTCCTCTCAGCAGATGACCTCACCTCCTACTTCACAGAGAAAATAGAAGCCATCACACATGAACTACTTCAATTTACCATTAACTAGCCTATAAGCTCTCCGTTATTTGCATCCATCCTTGCCTCATTCACCAGTGGACGAGATCACTGTCCTATCTAAGGCTAATTCTTCTACCTGTGCTCTGGACTCATACCCTCACCTTAGGAAAACTTGTTTACATGCTCTAGTAATAAGAGCTAACTTCCATATGCTACTTAGTATGTGTCTGGCATATTTTAAGTATTCTCATTAATTTAATCCTTACAACCCTATGAGGTCAAGTGACTTGCCCAGGGTAACCTAGCTACTAAGTTATAGAGCCAGGATTCAAACTCAGGCAACCATGCTCCAGAATCCATGCTTTTAAACTATTTAATGCTGCCTCCTGTCTCCTCCATTTAAACATTAAATCAGGTATCCACCAAAATCTACCACCACCACCACCTCTCTTCCATATTTATTAGTCCTAGTCTCTCCTGCCTTCACATCTGTGTTATCTTTTCTCTTACAGCCCACTCCAGCCTTGCTTACATCCCCACTACTCTGAAGACCTAGGTCACCAAGGTCTTCCTTATTGCTAAGTTCAATATATACTTTTCAGTCCTCACATTAGTTCTTGGCAGCATTTGCTATTAAGCAGTCTTCATGAAGTACTCTCATTTCTACTTTGTCAAAATTTGATTTTTTTTTTCCTCCTCCCTCTTCTGGACATTACTTTTCTTCTCTCTTAATGTTCTGAGTTCCTCAGAGCTCTCCAGCTTTACACACTTGCTGGACAATTTTGTCCATTCCCTTGGTTTCAAAAGCCATGTATTCTTAAAACTCCCCATTCTATGACATTAGCCCAGATCTTTCTCTTAAACTCCAGACCCATTTATCCAGCTGATTACTAGATAGCACCACGTCATAAAACAGAAGCTCCCCAACCTGAATGTATCTTCTTTCTATACATTGCACCTTCTGTTCTCAGTAACATCATAGGTGGCTCCATTGCCCAAAAGAAACCTGGATTCTTTCTCTTATCCACATGTATTTGGCTACCAGGTCCAATGTTTACCACCTATCAAATGCATTTATTTCTCTATCTCCCCATCATTAATTCAGGCTACCATTACTTCTCACCGGATTCATTTCAGCAGTTCCTCCCGACTCCATACTCACCATACAATCCATTGTCTACACTGTAACCCAAGCATTTTTTCAAAAATGCAAGTGTCATTCACTTAACCCTTCAATGGTTTCATCACCATGTCATAATTTTACTTACAGGGTCATTTATGTTCTCACCCCTGCTTACCTCTTAAGTTGTATATCAAACATTCCTTTAAAACTTTAAACATCTGCTACTTTGAATATTTTTCAGTTCTTGGAACCTGCCACTTTCTCCTTCAGGCCTTTATATATGCCAGGTTCTCTCTGTCCCTTCTCCCTTCTTTTAGCCTGTCTCCTTTATGTTCTTTAGGACTCACCTGGAAAGCCTGTATTGACATAAGCTGAACTGGGTGTTTAGTACCCACCCATGCTTTGTACTTCCACAGTACTCTACTTCCCCAGTTCCCATCACACATTTATTTATCAGGCTATAGTCAGGAATAAGATGTGCTGCTTGCTACTGTGTAGCAAAAAGAACCTCTATTTACTAGGTGCGGGTAAGGTTTAGTTGAATGAATCAACAGGAGCCTGCTCAGTCCAAGGGGAGATAAGGGAGCAGGTCCCAAGGAATTATTTGCTTTGTGGCATTAAGCAACTGCCCCCTACCTAACCTTCTGGATCCTACTCCCTTCTGCGGGATGTGGTTATTCTTTTCTCCCCCATACCTACCCAATGAATCTGTTCAAGTATTCCCCATTGGGTCATTCTCACTCTACTCCTCAGTTTATAGATGTTCCCTGTGACCTATAGGCAAAGTCCAGAGACCTCTGCTGCTGTTTGGAGCTATCACCCAATTGGCAGCTAGCTATATGCTACCCCACCACATCCTATCTTGTGGTGACTCTGCCCTGACTGATGCTTGAGGGCATGGCCCAGTACAGTAGACATCAGTTTGCTGGTTACCTGAGGAAAAAGCAAGACAATGGATGAAAAGTTGAGAAAATGGTTTTAAATAATCTGATCCAAAGCTTGAGATTTTAGTTAGAAATATTTGGAGTTGTCTCTGAGTTACCCTTGCTGACACTCCCACATGACTCTTTCCTGCCATAGGCCTGGGCTCTAACATCTTCCGCCTCCTGGACAGCCTGCGGGCCCTGTCAGGCCAGGCTGGATGCCGCCTCCGTGCCCTGCATCTCAGTGACCTGTTCTCACCACTGCCCATCCTGGAGCTGACACGTGCCATTGTGCGAGCCCTGCCCCTGCTACGGGTCCTCTCTATTCGTGTTGACCACCCCAGCCAAAGGGACAATCCTGCTGTGCCAGCGAATGCAGGGCCCCCTAGCCACATAATAGGGGATGAAGAGATACCAGGTGAAGCACTGGGCATGCACATTTGTGTGTGTGTGTGTGTGTATACACAGATATGCAAGTGCATTTGTGTGGGGAAGACAGAAAGATCTTTAATTCAGGCTTGCCACCACTCATTCCTGGCTTTTCTGGACTCTATCCCATCTTTAGCCTGCTGTTCTTAAAGATAACCATGGGCCAGATAAGGGCACAGGCCACAAGCCCAGCAGGGAGTAACCCCCAGAAAAGGAGTCTGAACCAAGAACAGAACTGTTAAGACTAGATTACGTCCCCCTACTATATGTTCCCTTAGTCCTTGTATGTCTCCTGCCCCAACCCCCCCACTCTCCATACTCATATTTGCTTATGTCTGAGTAGTAGTTTTCCTGGACTAGAAGCTCTGTAAAGGACTAAATTTCATAGCTGGTGCTTTATTTCCAGAACGTAGGACAGTGCCTAGAATATGGTAGGCACTGAAGGACAAGTAGACATACGAATGAATTTTTAGTGAATCCCTTAAGGACAGGGTGGGACCTGGTATGGGAGTGAGGTAGAGATGACCAGCTGGAATCTACTCTCCCTACCATGTCCAGAAAACTGCCTGGAACAGTTGGAGATGGGTTTTCCACGAGGAGCCCAGCCAGCCCCACTGCTCTGCTCTGTACTGAAGGCCTCAGGTTCTCTGCAGCAGCTCTCCCTGGATAGCGCCACCTTTGCCTCTCCCCAGGATTTTGGACTTGTGTTGCAGACACTCAAAGGTAAGACCCAGCTAGAATGGTAAAGGGAGAAGGGTAGGAGAGGACCTTGCGTTGTTCTTTGGAAAAGCTAAGACCCATGGCCTCTGCCCCCATCTAGAGTACAACATAGCCCTGAAGAGGCTGAGCTTCCACGACATGAATATGGCCGACTGTCAGAGTGAGGTGCTCTTTTTGTTACAGAATCTGACTCTTCAAGGTAAGTTCTTTATCCAGAACCTGGAGCATTCCTGAGTCCTCACTGTGGCTCTGCACTGTCTCACTGAGTGAGCCACTGTTTTTTTTTCTTGGCCTTATGTCCTCAACTTTAAAATGGTTATAGAACCTGCATGACCTTCCAAACTCAACTCCTCCTCTACTACACATGGGAAATAACTCACTTTTAGAGTGCCTCACCCACAAGTTTTTTATCTTTCAGTGGCTGACAGAAATGATGGTAGTAGAGGGATAAATGTGCTGTCCGGTTCCCCTCATAGACTTGTCTCTAATTCCCATCCCTGCATAGAGGGCAGTCAATGGATGAGGGAAAGAAGGAAGTGAATGTCCATGCAGAGACCCTCCATACAGTGAACATCTAGGCTCAATCTCTGGTTTGAACGCTGACTTAGTTTTAGCCGTAGTTGGGGTCTTGGACAAATTCCTTTCTCTTTCAGGGCCTCTCTAAAATGGTTACACCCCTTGCTAAGGCCAACTGGGGCAAGAGGGGCAGCACCAGTCCTATGCAGCCAACAGAATTTTTTTCCAATTTCTCTTGACAGAAATTACCTTCTCCTTCTGCCGTCTGTTTGAGAAGCGCCCGGCCCAATTTCTGCCTGAGATGGTTGCTGCTATGAAGGGCAACTCCACATTGAAGGGCCTCCGGCTGCCAGGGAACCGCCTGGGTGGGGGCAGGGCCCTGGGAATGGAGAGGGAGAGGGGGAAGAGGCCAAACCCTTGACCTAGAAACCCAGTGGGTAAAGGCATAGACCTCTGTACTGGTTACGTGGGGGTTAGAATATAGCTGTGTGCTGGGACTTCAGGAGGCGGGGCTTCTCCCCAGCCAGAATTAGGTTGGGGTACCCTGTTCCCTGCTCTTGGGTGGAGGTTACCGACATTTCTCCCCTTCTCCCCAGGGAATGCTGGCCTGCTGGCCCTGGCAGATGTCTTCTCAGAGGATTCGTCCTCCTCTCTGTGTCAGCTGGACATCAGGTACATGTTGGGAGGTGGGGAGCTGGATAGACAGGAGGGGAGGGGGGGACAAGGGATAGACCTACAGCGACACAGACCAAGGATTAATTGCTTCGTGGGTGTCTAATCTGTCTCATCCCTACCAGTTCCAACTGCATCAAGCCAGATGGGCTTCTGGAGTTCGCCAAGCGGCTGGAGCGCTGGGGCCGTGGAGCCTTTGGTCACCTGCGCCTCTTCCAGAACTGGCTGGACCAGGATGCAGTCACAGCCAGGGAAGCCATCCGGCGGCTCCGGGCCACCTGCCACGTGGTTAGTGACTCGTGGGACTCATCCCAGGCCTTCGCAGATTATGTCAGCACCATGTGATGGGGCCCACGCCTCACAGGCCCATGCTCAGTACCATCAGCTTGTAGGGGCTGAGGCATGGGCTGCCCAGAACTCCCAGCTACCAATTCTGTCTTTCTCTTTCTGCCACCTTTTTTTCTCTATTTTCCTTCTTCCCTTGCACTGAGGTTCTGGAGGCCTTGATGGGGTCCAGCAAAGGCATTCCCAGAACTGGGTTTAGAGTCTTTGGGCCCCTTACTCAGTAACCTGGGAACCCTGGGCCAGGAGGTTACAGTGGTTATCAGTCACTGAGGACAGCTCCCCTCCCCCTGCTCCGGGGTTCCTCCTTTCCTGCCTCAAGCAGGTACCCAAGCTTTAGAGAAGTATAGGAGTGCCCACTACCAGGCCTCTTCTCTCCTGGGCTTACCATGCTGCTCCCAGGCCTCAGTCCCTTTCATACCTTTATTCCTTTCTTTTTTTAACCAAAAAAGTTTTTCTTATAAAATAAATTTTGGGCAAACATCATGCAGCCCTTCTTAATGGTTTTTCTCCCAGAGAATAAAATTCAGCAGGGCCCTAAGGGGCAGGGACCCCCTTTGCCCTGTTTCCTTCCTCTAACAGCTAAACCCAGACCAGCTGGTTATCAGCGGAGGCCCCGCTGCTCCTCATGGGAACGCTGGTGGAACACAAAGGTGATGGCAGTGGTGGCAGCATCCCAGGCAGCCTGGAGTACCTCATCCCGGAGCCCCCGCTTATCAGAGCTATGGTTCCATTGAGCCAGGTCTGAGGTGCAGTCAGAACCATCAGGGGGTGGCCTGACCTGGTGGTTGTTGACACAGCGGCGGCAGCGCAACCTGGGGGCAGAACACAGAGCTGTGGTCACCACACATCCCACCTCCATGTTGTGCGGGGAGTCCAGAGATAATGGCTAGCAAGGGCACTCCACCCACCTATCATGTGTGTCACTGAGGCTCGCCTCGTCCAGGGTAAACAGCTCCTTCAGCTCGCCCAGAGAGAAGTGCCGCTGCACGTCCTGCTCATCCACCACACAGCTACTCAGTGCCTTCTTGTGGCTCTGACGCTGGAATATCTTCTCCTCAATGGTTCCTGCCTGGGGGAGGAGGGAACCAGGGACGCACGGCTGAGTCATCCCCATACATTGAGGCAGGAAAACCCGAGGACTGAAACTATAGCCGCAACCCAAGAGAAAGGGAGATAAATGAAAAGTAAGAGTCCTATAGCAATACCTCTGCTCAGCTGAGTCCATTTCCTAGTCTATCTCTTGGGAACATGACTTCTACATGTCTGCCCACCAGGATATTTTCTGTAGCAAGGGAGGGTTTTCAGGGCCTGGCTAAGTTCCTTCAGGGTAAGCTGAGGTTTGTCTGCAGCAGCTTCACCACGCTTCCATGCCAAGCCCAAGTCTCATTCAGTAACTATCACTTGGGTATCCCAGGCCAGGTCTTGTGCTAATACTAGGATACAAAGAACAATCAAATATGATCCCTATTCTTGAACTCATAGACTAGTGGGAGAGACAGACATAAACTAATTGGTACAATAAAAGAAATCTGTATAGAACACCCAGAAGCCCACAAGAGGGATGGCTGAGTGAAATAGTGTTGAAATGCTTAAAGATGATCTTTGAGCTGTCTTAAAAAAATGAATAGATGGCTTACAAGGAAAGAGCAAAAGGAAGGCATTTCCAGCACACGAACAAAGGGATAAGCCTGGCCTATTGGAAGACTGTGAGCTCTGTCTGTCTAGAGATGGCAGAAGAGTGGGAAGAGATGGGCTTGAAAAAGTCAGCAGAGGCCATATTGGAAAAACCTGGATGCCAGACTGAAGAGCTTGACCTTGTCTTGGAAGTGATGAAAAACAGAGTTTTTGGAAAGCTCATTCTGGAAGCAATAAGTGAAGAATGAGTTAGGATAAGACTAATGGTAAAGAATTAGGAAGCTGCTGTAATATCCAAGGGAGAGACTACTGTGACCTTAGCATAGCATGGAGAGGAAGGTTAGGTTAAGGAAATTTCAAGAAGGAAAATCAATGGTGGTTAGGAGACAGAATGATCAAGTAGGATGATGCCCCAGACTTGGGTTGGGTGAATAGTAGAGCCATTAAATGACAAAATTCAGAAGAGGACTAAGTTTAGTAATGATGCATCTAAAGTGATCATTTAAGATATTTAAGAAATGTACAGCAGGTGATGTATATATGGGTCTAGAACTCAAGAGATCAGGGCTAAAAATTTTGTTAGAAACTTGTCAATATAATAAGTGTATATAATCACAGAGATAGGGAAACCAGAGTGGAGTTTCCAAAGAGAAAAGAATTTTAAGATTAGTAGTCAACAGTGTAAGACACAAAGAAGAGAAAACCAAAAAATTACTTGTTTTGGCAATTAGGAAGCCAATAATAGTACATTCAAAAGCAGGTTCAGGGCCAGCCAAGTGGCCCAGTTGCTTAAGAGCACAGCTCTGAGCAACAATGTTGCCAGTTCAACTCCCACATGGGCCAGTCAGCTGCCCCTGAGCTGAGCTGCCACTGAGCTGCCAACTGGTGGCAGGATAGCTCAGCTGGTGAGAGCACAGGCTCCTAACAACAAGATGGCCGGTTCGACTCCTGCGTGGGATGGTGGGCTACACCCACCCGCAACTAAGATTGAACATGGCACCTTGAGCTGAGCGGCCATGAGCCACCGACAGCCGGCCGGATGGCAACTGGACTTGGAGCTGAGCTAGCTGCGCCCTCCACAGCCAAGACTGAAAAACAACAACTTGGCTGTTCCCCTTCCCCAATAAAATCTTTTAAAAAACAAAAACAACAACAAAGGTTCAGTGGCTTAAGTCGTCTGATGAGTGCGTAGAAGATAAGGAGATGAAGTTAACCTGTAGGCTTTGGAAAAATTTGACAGTAAATGAATGGGAAGTAACCCAAGGTCGTGGCTACAATAAGAGAGAGCTGAGAAATTGTTTTCAAGATGAGGGCTACCCAAGTATGTTTACAGACTTTAGGGAATAAAGGAGACATTAATCAACTTGGGAAGGGGTCCAGAGCAAAGCTGGGATGATAAGCCTCAAGCAGAGAGAAAGGGAATGATCTTCCTCTGGGATGGGAAGGGAAGAGCAGGTGTAGAGATTTACAAAAGAGAGGGAGGGAAGAGAATTGAAGCCTGGTAGCCTACATTTTTCTGTGGAGTAAAAGGACAAGGTCTCTACAAATAGAGAGACAGGGTTAGGAAGGAAACTTGAGGAAAGTGGTAATAGCTTGGAGTGGCTATTGAAGAAAATGAGATACGGCCCAGCCCAAAATGGTGAACGTGAATTTGTGGTAGTGTCAATCTGTAAATGCAAATTTTACATAGTGTAGAAGCTGAGAACAGCTGTAATGACCCAAGTGGAGGAGGTATTAGGGAAGGAGAGGCTGAAAGATGCACAGTGAAGATCAGGCTGAATAGAAAAGGAAGTCAAGTGGATCTGGGGGCGAGGGATACTAGGAATGTTAGGTTGAAGCTGATGTAGGAGGTATGAGAAAAGACAGGAAGTAATAGCTATTACTAATGATAGCTATTAAAGTTTTGGGCACCGTTAAAGTTCCACAGTGTAGCCTTGCAAGTAATTACAATAGGGAGAGTTAAAATAGGGGGAAGTTATTAGAGAGGAGGTCAAGGAAACATGAAAGAGTGCTGGGTAACTGCATGGTCCTTGAAGTCCACCAGGATAATAGCTGGATTTGGGGAAGAAATGAAGACTGAGCTGGTGTCCAAAGTCATCAATGAATTAGGAAAATAGCAGGAGGTAGATGACTGTAACAAGGAAAAGAGGGTATCAAGTCAGACAACATGAGCTTCAAAAGAGGAACTATAGGGTGCATGGTCTGTGATCACAGAGAACCTGGAGGACGCCAATACCACTTCTTAGCACCATGGGGCATGGAGTATGAGAAGACTACAAGGCAGGTAGCACAGTGAAAATCAGGTATGAGGGAAAGCAGGAAAGGATGAGGCCACAGGGAAGTTTGTTAACTGTTGAACAGGTATGCAGAGGGCATTGTAAGAAGGGTTTGAAGGAATGGGGTGGAGAGAACAGAAGAATAAAAGGCTCCAGGCTAAGCCCATACCCTGGCCACTGCTAGAGGCAGATGGGCCAAAGAGAGGCACGAGAGACAACGCAAGGTCTTGTTCCCTGACCCACCCTACTCCTACCACTACCACGATGCTTACAGATAGCAGGCGGTAGATATAGCAGGTCTTCTTTTGACCATCACGCCAGACCCGGGCCATGGCTTGTTCATCATTAGCCGGGTTCCAGTCAGGGTCAAACATGACCAGCCGGTTAGCCCCAATGAGATTGAGGCCACAGCCCCCAGCTTTGCTGCTCAGCATGAACACAAAATCGGGGCTCTGGAAAGAGAGGAAGCAGGAGAAAAAGAAGCTTTTGCAGGCTGAACCTGTATCCTACTCAGCCCAGCCAAGTGTTCTCTCTCACACATCAGTGTATTCTTACACTGAGACCAATGGTGAGGACCACCAATTTGTCACATACCAGCCAACTTCCCAGCCTGCAAAGTCAGTTCCCAGCCCAGCCATTACCAATCAACCTAACCCTATCACAGCCACCTAAAAAAATAATCCAGGAAGACCCTAGAGCAGAACCCTCTTATAGCTTTTCTATCAACCCTTAATTATAATGTTACTGCACTTTTGGTGTGGGAACAGGGGCTGTGCCTTTACCAATGGATTATTGAAGCGCTCCACAACCTTGGCTCGCTTCTTAATGGACATTGTGCCATCCAAGCGGACATACAAATACCTAGAGAGGAATCCAAAGATTAAAACCCAAGAAGGAAGCAGAGCCCCTTGGAGGTAGAGCTACAGCAGGGACTGAACTACATGCTTGAGGCTGTTCATGCACAGCCTGAGGCCCCACACTCCCAAAGAGATGGACAGGGAGCTAGGGGCCAGGACTGTCCTGTGGGAGCACCTGAAGGACATGGGGCTATTCAGCTTAGAGAGGAAACTGGGACCATCACAGCAATAAGGAAACAGATACCTTCATCCACACCTTGGCCCATATCCACCATCAGAACACCTACTTTTCTAGGGGGACAAGCGGGGAGGCACCCCTTTGGCAGCCTAGTTAGGTTCTTCCCTACCTTCGGGCCCGGCAGAGCTTTTCAAAAAGGTCCAATGTCTGGGTGTAATTGGACACCAGCACTACTTTGTCACTGCTGCGGCTTCGGGTCACTGCCAGAATGTAATCAAGGACCAGCATCTTACCTGGGAAGAGCGGCAACCATTAGCCCTCAGTGGGCATTCCCAATTGCCTGGGATTCTTATTGTTGATATCCTGCCTTGAGACAGGATAGGTCTAGAACAAAGACAATTTCCCACCCCTCTTCCCAGAGAAACCCAAAGACTGGTAGGAAAGGGCTCACCTGACAATTGAGGCTCTAGAGCCTTGGAACTATAACCAGGGGGGAATATGTCCAAGGCACCTTCAAAGCCATCCTCCTCTTCCACA